CTCTCTCTCTCTCTCTCTCTCTCTCTCTCTCTCTTCACGTTACGTTTCATTTCTAAATGCTTCATCGTTTCACTCTGGCACGTGCTTTAAACTCCGCAGCGCTCGCTAATTGACAGAATTTTATTAATGGATCTCGATCATATGCGCAGTTAATTTTGCTCGAGTTTTTTTACGGTTCGCTCGTCAGCGAGTAGATGCCGAGTTCTTCCGCAATATAACGAAGTAATGATATCTGTATAACAAAATCCGAAAGAAATATCGTTTGTTTATAACCAACTTGTTGGTTGATATAAACATCTTATCAATCAAGAAACAAATAAAAAATATGATATAAGTACAAAAAATATTCAAAAAATAAAAAAGATAACAATTTCGTAAGTATAATAATAAATATTCATTTATCGGCGACATATTATCTACATTTATATTAAATGTTATATATTTATATTATACTGTGAAATGCAGATAAATAAAATCTAATATGAACATAATAAAAATAATAAGATTTGAAACGTCTAATCGCATAAGTTAAGAATATGAGAAATATTTTGTATTTTTATCTTCTGCCCTGTCATGTTTTGATAGATATAATAATTATCATGTTTCAGCGTGGAATATCCAATTTACGAAGAAAGAGAAAAATAATGTTTTTTTGTATGTTACGTGCTGCAAAGAGATCGCTGTTATACGCTGATTCGTCGGCTGAAAGTGACGCAGCTATGTCGAGATCATTGCTTTCCTCACGTTCTTGCGAGCATTGATGTCTCTATTCGCACATGGCGAGAAGGCGAGTATATTTTATCTTCAATCGCCACGTGCTACTGAATTAAATGTAGAAACGCGAGAAGCTTTTATTGTGTGTATCGCAAACATATCTCACCGTGTCTGTTTATATATTCATTACTTTTTCCACCAGTATTAATGGAGAGATATAAAACATAATAAATAAGATATATATATAAAATATAATGTATAATGAGACCTAATTAAATATAATGTAAAATACACTTATTAAATACATATAAAATTTAATAAAATAAAATAACTTAATATGAATTAATATAATAATAATTATACATTATATAAAGTAAAGAATAAAAAGTGAAATATCAAATAACAGAATTTTATTTTATTTATAAATCATTCTAAGATGAGAGCTACATATTTTCAAAATAAAAGAGCTACATGCAAAAATGAACAATCATCATTATGAAAAATGTACGATCATCATTATGAAAAAGTTAAAGCGAAATATGTAACAATTTTGAAATTTATTCTTGAGCTTTTTTTTAAATAGATAAATACTGTGTGTCTGGAAAATCTTTTATGTCGTAAATCTCGATAATCAATGCAATGATTTACTGGTCTTTCATGATCAGGCCGTAAACACATCTGTATCTCGGAGATCACGATCGTTTAACGATCGATGGCACCGCCTGCGTGTACCGTTGTGCTCGGGCTGATCCAGTTACGAACCAGAAATCTCTAATGCGCTACTCGGTTGTCCACTTCGGCGAAAGAGAAATCCGCTCGTTGTGCTGTCAACGCGGCCGGGAGGGTGAGGCGGAAAAAGAGCGGCGTAAAAGGAGCGGACGAGCGCAAAAACCTCGCTCGTCCGACGATAATGGTGAAAAGCGTTAATTATGGGCGTCATGGAGGATACCTTGCGACTTAACCGGGTGAAGTCGAAAGTACGCGCGATGCGACGTCGCGCGGTTGCGCCCGTCGATTTTTTTCTTTGCATCGCCATCGCCGACGCCGCCGCTGCTTACGTTACGTTTTCGCGCGCAAGAAAGTGATAGTAGTAGAGCGAACGTGTGTGTCGTCCGGCGAGAGATGTACTATGTCGATTAAGCTCGATTTACATGTACTTTCCCTTGTTCCCTGTAATAATACTCAGCGAGGAGAAACTTTCGCGCGAGTCAAGCGCGGACGCATCCTCGGGCGACGCTCCGCCGTGAATTTGGAGAGATGAAAACTTGTGGTGATCCGCTTGGAGTGAGTTGTTGACTTTAAATTTTTGACAGCTCGTTACGGCGAAGGAATCAAGCCGACGTTGCTTTCCAAGCATATTGTTATAATTATTTTTTCATAACTCATAACTTTAGTACTTCGAGAATTCGAAGCTTATAAACTGTTTTCCGTTTTCTAAATTTTATTTTACATTTAGATCTGTTCGATCGAAAAAAGGGTTGAATAAAGAGGGTTAAAATTTAAAAATTAAATTTGACTTTTGAAAAAATAAGTTAAAAAAATAATGCAATAAATGGAATAATCTAAAAATATAAAATATATAGCTAATCGAGTGCGTCGTCCACTCTAATCCAGCTTAAATCCCGGCTCCACGATTCTTCTGATTAAATTTGTTTTAAAAAAATCTCAGATTCTTTCTCTGCCGAGCGGAGTTTCTCCGAGCGGCCGAGAGTGAGTAATGTTCACGGGAAATGGTAGCCGGTTACGCGGAACGGGAGGAGAAATAAGAAGAGCAAAAGAACAGAAGCGTGGTCGGCGAAGACTGACGTCTGTTACGTGAATCAACCCGGACTGACGTTTCTCGAGATCTCCCGAGATGTTGGCAGTCGCGATCCAGTTTTCGGTTTCTAGAAAGTCGGGATGAGCCCGGGCGTGGTTTGTATCTTTTTCCCACTCGGCCCGCTTACCCTGTCCTGCTCTTTCTCTCGCTACGTCGTCCTTGCCGGTATGATTTCTCTGCCGACATTCACCTACGTGTGCGATAAGTGCTTCTCCAGGGCCGCATGCATCTTGGTGCGCGATACTCTATTGAATATGCTTCGATACAAATGTCCGTGTTTATTGTATATATAATAAAATTATTCTGTAATAATTTTAGGTTAAACTAAAAATTTGGATATATATATATATATATAATTTAAAAGAAATTATACATAGGTAGCGAGGTAAATATCCTTAATATGTCAGGCGATATATATACATCGAAAAAAATAAAATAATCGCGAATCGTTTAATAAAGATTAACGCAATGTATTTTATTAATTACAAAGCGTCTCACTTTTCGTCACGTCTGTCGGTCGACTCCTTGCCTGTTTTCCCGTATTAGCTCTCCTATCTGTTGTTTTCCTTCGACATTATTCTCAATAACAAAAATATTGTTTCGAAGAAGAATATGATGAGATGTTTGTTTCTAACAGTTGAACGTTTTAAATAATTTCAGATAAAATAAAATAAAAACTGATATTATGAAAATGTAGATAAAATTATAAGTATAGAAAAAAAGAAATCCTGAAGAAGAAAGCTCCGTTCTGAGGTTGTCAAATATAAATTGCAATTTATTCTGAGTTGATCGGATGTTGTATATACATGTAATATATATATCACACAGCGTGTATTATTCATGTGTTTCTCTAAAAATACCTACGTATGTATTTATGTGAAATCAAACATTGACGTCTGAAAAAACGTGTGGCTTATAGAAGATATAATCGTCGATAAAATCCAAATCTCTACAATTTCTTATTAAATTATATATATAAATGAAAATTTATCGACATACAAATGCAGTCTTTAACATACATCGATATATATATATATATATATATATATATATATAT